TTGTGAAAGAGGGAGATTTTTTCCCCTCTCTGCATTTAAAAGGGTCTTCTGAATGGGCATGAGAGCAAAAACACGCTCCCCTTTCTCCTGAGTACACCCCTGACTGCTGCCTCTTTGCTTTCAGTTCCAGCGTTGCTGTCACTGATGCTTCTGGTTAATGCCCTCTTGCAGTTCCTGGAGAAGGACTTCACCATCATCAGAAAAGTAAAAATGACTGTAGAGAAAGGTCCTGATTCTCAGTTTCTCCATTCCTGCACTTGGGGCAGATATGGGGGGACTGGGAGCCAAATGTAATTTTAAACTGCCTTTGCATTCCCCATATTTAGAGCCATGATGGGACCTAGATGATCACAGTGGTCCCTTCTGGCCTTGGAATCCATGAATCCATGCCCTGCCCAGCCCCTGCCCTAATGTAAGTTATAAAAGCCTTACTTTCTGCTTGCCTTTGGCCTCCTATAGGTCCTGGGGAGCAGAAATGTGGGGCACTGAGAATGTGAATTTCAGTTAACAGGATTCCTCTAATCAAGAAGACTTGAAAAGTGTCAATTTTTATTTAATTCATGCCAGGTGTACTTTCAGAGATAAAAACAAAAGCAGCATGCTCTCATGGCTGAAGTGATACTATACAATTCTCATACTGGTTTCTAAAGTTATACTGTAAGTTAAAACTGAGAAACCTGTAATCCATGACAAACCAGCACCCCTTGCCCTTTGAGGATCTTGGATGATACATATTTGTGTAGATTACATTCATATTACTTCAGTTCTCCCTTTTCAGATATAAGATAGTTGGGGATGGGAAAACTGATTAAGAATAAATAAGACTGCCTGACCCATCCTTAGTTCAAGCTTCAAATGTCACATCTGTTTAAATCCTAGTTACTCACCTTTAAACTATTTTGCAGTGACTAAATGTATGCTAATGCCGTCCCAATTAAACAGTGGTCACTACTGTTCACTAAACTAAACACTTTCCCGAAGGGATGTCATAATATACCATGTTCAAATAAAGCCGTATGTAATGTAATCACTTAATATCACCTTTCAGCACAAAACACTTTACATATTCTATATCTTATGAAACAAAGAGGTTTCCTCTAAATGAAAAATTCCGTGCAAGCTAAAAATCAAGTCCCTAAAATGCCTCCCATATAAGGAGAGCCTTGGAACGACAACTGTCTCTGGGGAAGAGGGCAGCAGCCCTGGATCAGTACGGAGAGGGAGATATTCTATGATCCTGCTGCACCAAACCAAACTCTTACCAAGTGTATTGTGGGCTCTTCAATATCACTCACAGTAAAGAGTGATTTAGTGTTAAGATGTGGTCTGAAAACAGTACACAGTAAACTGCAGGTTACTGAATGTATCTGCTTTCAGAATGAAAGTGTGAGTCAACCTTCTTTATGGCTGGAGCAGTGCTCAGTACACCAAGGGGGTATGAAGGGAAAGGTGGTTTTATACCACTTCTTCACCCATCACTGATTCTAGGCCAGGTATGGGCCAGTTTGTGTCTCAGAACAATTTAGCACAGCCTCAGCATTGCTCTACATTGCACCATCTTGTAACAACCTTCAAGGGACATTATACTGTCCAGGAATTGCCGAAGGACAATGCCTTCTCCTAAGTCAGGAGACATCCCATCTGTCTGGCTAAGCCAGTATATTCCATATTTTCTGCCTGTACAGCAGAGAAAGACCATAGTGCATGATATGATCTGGACTTTGAGTCAGAAATGATGGCCTCCAGGGAGAATGAGTATTTCAAATAACATGTTTAGCTATTAGCTTTTTAGTAAAGATTTTTAAAAAATGTCGGAAGTACAAAATATTTTCTAGCCTAAGATTTCAGACACATAAGAAAAAGAAATACAGCAGAGTTGAAGCAGTATAGATAAGGAGGTAGAGAGAGTAAATAATGTGTATTATTTTTAAAGTTATATCATTGTTTGGGGGATTAAAATGCAGCATCCCACTGCGTGCATCCTTCCTCAAAGAGATCAGTTGTTAATCTAATACACTCATCTAATTCAATTTTTAACCATTTTTATTCTTGTCATTTTTATAAATGGCATTTTGTTTTTAAAAACATAGTTGATTGAAATATATTCATTGGCTGCTACGACAAAAACTCTAAGCAGATATTGTCATGTGATTTAAGTAAATCGGGACTCTTCCCTAGCACTCTAACAACATGGACTTGAGGAATATATCCCTGCAATAATCTGACATTAGTTTTCTAACAGAGCAGAAGCCTTTAAACTTGGCACAGAGAGATGATCCATTCCCTCCAGCATTTTCCTGTGAAGTTTTCTGTCTATTTTGTTTTGCAACTGTGTTGTGCAGAAAATCTTTAATCACAAATTCCTGTTTGTAATCTCTCCATGAGGGAAAACTTGGCATACTCACCCTAGTTAACATTATATCCTTCCAGTTCTCTGGAGAGATCTGTTGGTTCATTTCTTTTCCCGACCTAGCTTCACTTTGTCAATGTTGGTCTATAATTTTACAGAAAATAAAAGCTACTTAGATGCAAGTGAAATAAGACACATAATTGCAAGACAGACAAGTTAAATTGGCAGGAATTTTGTATCTTCTTACACATAATATATTATTTATATCATCGTAAGAATTAGAGACAATATATTCCAGTAGTGGACTATGTAAGATAACTACATGTTAATCAGCACTCTGGTAAAATTAATAATACATGGTATGCACATTTACTATAAAGATAATGAAATTCTGGCTGCATTGAAGTCAAGGGCTACCAGTGACTTCCAGAAAGCCAGGTTTTCACCCATGGTGTTTAGACAGCTATTCCATCTCCACCAACAGAGCCTGCAAGCTCCATTGCTCTTATGGGTACTTTCATTCATTCTCTTTTTCAGTCACTGTTTTTCTTCTACAGAAAAAAATGTGTGCTAAATATTGTTTCAGTTCAGTCCCTTCACTGTCTGTATAAACTAGGAATCTCCCACTACCTTGGAATTCTATGGATAGCCAGACATGCAATATAGACATCTCAAATTAATCTAATCTGAAGAAGTGGGTTATGCCCACGAAAGCTCATGATACTATACATATATTTTTGTTAGTCTGTAAGGTGCCACAGCACTACTCGTTTTTTTCAAAGTTGTTTTTAAAGACTAACATGGCTACTTCTCTGAGACTTTTAAGACCTGCAATATAAAGAGGAAGGGCTTTTTAGCTCCCCAGGACAGTGCTCTCTGTCCTGCCAAGCAGCAAGTCAGATTATAATTACTCATCATTTAAAAAAAATAGAGACATTCCTAATTCAATCTCTCAAGTCATCAGTAGATGTTTCCTCATCAGTAAAGCAGGGATATTAACACAAGAGACTTTCCTAATGCCAAAGAACTATGAGTACCAAGAGCTTTTAATTTACCACCAAACCCTTGCACTTTACAAGCAAGTCATTGAGCTTTGCCATATGTCAGTTTACTTGTCTTTAATGAGAACAAGTTAGAACAGCATCAGCACTTTTCTAACTTCTACCACCCTTGACAGTCCTCAAGGGGTTGCTCCATCAGCCAGGATTGTCAGACATTCTCACCCAGACCACGCCCATTCCCGTGTTAAGAGTGGCTAGAGCCAGGATGACTATTCATGGAATCCTGCCTTCTTAAGGCAGGTTTGGATTGCCAACCCTACAGTATTGGCCTAGTGTCTCCCGAAATCAGCATTAATCCCCTGGTGATTGTTGAAATCAATCCTGGATATTTTAAGAAAATGACATTACATCATGTTGGGAAAAAATAATCTCCCCCAGAATAGCTTCAGTTGGAATTGTCCACCCTAGACAGGTTTAAGTACCTTTTGCACCATGACAGCAACACGAAGAGGACTTAACTGGTGCTGAAGACCTGGCTCTGTCAGCTTATCTGGGAACCATATGCAAAACAAACAATATAGTTTGCAAAGACTCCTAACACTACCAAGTTAAAATATTTTTTCACCGGAATATTGAATGGGCCTTCACTATACGTAAGGCTATTCCCCTGCCAAATTTCAATCTTTTAACTCCACCTGTTTTAGCTGAAACAGAAAGTTAGTTGAAAAGCACAGGATTTTATTTTATTTTTCCCATGAAGACTGCAATTTTCCCACTCTTTTCTCTCTTTCAAAAATAACAGCCTTTTCTGCTTAAATTCTCCAGAACTATTCACTTTTGGTCAGAGATTAATCATGGGACTCTTCAGCCTAAATGGCACGCTTCAGAAGGATGCAAGCATTTTAGAAAGGGAGCTGGGATACAACTGGAATGATAGTAGGTCCCAACTGCAACCCCCAAAATAAAAGGTTTTGCCAGCTAATACTTCCTTCCAAGAGGCTCTAACTTCAGCCTCCCTCATCATTTCAATTCTATGCTGTAGTTTGGGTGGATAGGACTACAATTTAATTAATCCCAGATAGTTTGGTCTTGCTATCCTGACAATCCTGGCACATAGGACATGCAGCTGAGTGGTCTTTCCTTTATCCTGAGAGGTTAATCCTCCCCATCACTAATAAACAGGGTCTATAACATCACACCTTAATGGCACTTTGAAATGATCTGTCATGTTGTTTTTCTGTAATGCATTCCTGATAGTTATCTGATGCAGTGGTAATTTTGCAATCCTGATTATTACTAAATTGCCATAATGTGGTTGGTCTTTAACTGTCCCTTTTGCTTGACTTGGAATGAAGCATTCTCGCTTATTGGAATGATACTTTGTTTTGTTTTTGGAAAGGGTGAACAGCAGATGCACCTACTATTTGCAGAAGTCAAAACATAAAAGAATTATGAGTAAAGGACATGGGGCGGGGGAATATCAATACTTTAAAGCATGCTTTGCATTTTTATTATGTGCTTACCATTAGAAAAAAAATTGCCTATATAAAATAGGAAATGGACTGAGCTAGTAAAGCTGCTGTCATTCTGCCTGGTGTGGTGCACGATTAACTGATGAATAATGTGTGTGATTTTTCTCCCCCTTACAGTTACACTCAGCTGTGATCAGGATCCAAGTACAAAGACCTGGTTTCAATTATACATTTGCCCATATATGTATCCTGAATAATGACAAGACTTGCATAGTGGACGACATAGTGCATGTACTGGAGGAGCTAAAGTCAGCTCGATCTTCTAATCGAACTAATTTTGCTATCACATATCCAATAACTCACTTAAAGGATGGCAGGGAAGTATATAATGGGCACCAGCTTGGCGGGGTTACCGTACACAGTAAAGATCGAGTGAAGTCTGCAGAAGCCATTCAGCTCACCTACTATTTGCAGGCAATCAACTCTTTGAATGACATGGTAGCAGAAAAGTGGGAATCTATCTTTTGTGACACTGTTGAACTTTTCCAGAAATCCAACAGGAAAGTCAAAATGTATCCCTTCACTTCGTCTTCGCTAAAGGAGGATTTCCAGAAGACTAGCAGGGTGTCAGAACGTTACCTGACCACAAGCCTGGTCCTTGTGATCACTTTGGCCATACTCTTCTGTTCCATGCAGGATTGTGTCCGCAGCAAACCCTGGCTTGGCCTTTTAGGATTGTTAACCGTGAGCTTAGCCACTCTGACTGCAGCTGGAATCATCAATCTGACTGGTGGGAAATACAATTCCACCTTCCTGGGAATTCCCTTCATCATGTTAGGTAATTATCTCATTCTATTTTTTGTGGGGGTTTCTGGTTCTTTGATGTACAGTATTTCATGGCCAGCAGAAAAGAAGCCAGATATTACTGCATGAATCCCAGTACCCCATTCACTGTGAACTGCAGGGTACTCATCCTCATCATGAATTCATCGGCTGTTTGTAATAACAGTGCTTATGGACATTTTAAAAAATAACTCCACAGAGACTCCCTTGTTCTGTAGCACCATTTGGTATGACAGTGTGCTCATGTGGTAGAGGCGTGCTAGTGAAGCATGTTATGCACAAAAGAAAAACCAACAGCAGCTTCACTGTGGAAATTTGTTTATGGTTTTTCATACTCCGCTTTATAAGAAAACCTTTGCACTGGTCCTTTTTGTGAATTAAAATATCAGCTGCCTTGGTAAATAAAAGGAGCATTTTTCCTTTACAGAACAATAACTGTACTCCTTTTGAGTACGTACTGTTGTTTTACCATGGCCTTATGTTTTAATTAATCTGTCTAGAGAATAAATGCAGTAGTAGACAGTTTCTTTGTGTCATTTCACTTGAAAAGTGAATTTGCCAGGGCAGTTTAAGTAGTAATAGGCACTGCTAAGTTGCAGAGCTCTGTCTTTTGCTGACCAGGCCAGCTCACACCATTCAGCATCAAGCTCTGCAAAAGATTAAAGTATTGACAGATCACAAAGTCCATCCCATGAGACCTGGTGGTTGGTAGTGATTTCTGTCTCTATTTTTATACTCTGCTCACCCATCACAATTTTTGGGGTATCAAAACCAGGAGAGTCAGATTGTGTCTGATCCGAAGCCAGTGGAAAGACTCATATTGGCTTCAAGGGTCTTTGAATGAGGCACATTTTGGGGAAAACGGGGCATTAAATCAGAACAGGCAGAGGACTTCACTAGTGGACATAAAAAGATAGCTGGAAAGTGTATTCTGTTTGATTTGTGTTTAGTTCATAAATGGTAGGAAAAACTTTGTACGCTGCAGGTGTCTGATATGTTCTTGTTCACAACATTTTTCATTTATGAAGAATACCTCATGCATTGACTTGATAACAACTTTCTCAGCTGAAAATCAGTGTGCAGTACTACAAATTTTTCAGCATAAGTAGATCTCCAATTACTAAGACACATCATGTAGTGATGTTACATGTTTCAGTAGGGTTCTTTTACATTCAAAGTAGGACCACTATGAGGTGCATATAATATATGTATGCTCCTGACATGTTTAATTTAAAAGATGGTGTGTTCTATAAAGCAGCCATTTAGATGCAGAACATACTAGTAAAAAGTAAGTAAACAGAAAGCAGACCCTCAAGTGTCACATCAGAGGCACATGCAAATCTGATTTTCAAATCATAAAATTAAAATAAAATGTAACATGATTAAAATGAAATATTTTGAATCACAGGGAGGCTAGCCATCTGCCTTGTTTTCTTATGTTTAACTTTATATAATGGAAAAATACCTTGATCAAACTAAGGAGATTATGCAAAATATCCTGTTTTTCTGTGTATGTTATACAGAGAATATTCACTGCAGAAATTAAATCTGAAAGTCCATCCATAGAAATGAAAGTATTTTGCATGGAGTGACTTTGAAATATGAAATGTTAGCTACATTAAGGGATCAAAACTCCCATTGCTTGAGGACAGCCTTCCAAATCTTTAATTCATTGGCAATGAAATGCTGTGATCTGCACTTCTTACGGGGGTGGGGGTCAAAGTTAACTATGGTGAGTTTGTATTCAGTGTTTTTGTAGCAAGTTGGTCCCAGGATATTTGAGAGCTAAGGTGGGTGAGATAATACAGTTTTACTTCAGAACTCCTCTTTATTGCCAAACACTGTAGACAAACATTATTTTTTAATTCAAGTGTATTACTGCTGTTTTAGGAGTGATTTTTCTAGCAAGGAATTAAACTCTAAAAACTGTCAGCATCTAATAGCCCATTTCACTTGAATCCTACATATGCTTTGCATGGATTAATATAAACTCCTAAAAATGAGACATGGACATACAAGACACATTTAGAGCAGGGGCTAAATAATTTTTCATGAGAACTAGTTTAATCAAATGGACAGTTGGAAACACAATTTTTTTTCTTCTGACAGCAAAATGAAGCAAAACATTGAAAGATTCTGCACAGATTTTATTGAATATTTCACGTGTGCACAGTTAAAGACAAAGTCTCCCTTAAAGTAACTGAGAGCTAGAAAAGTGATAGAAATGTAGCCATGTTAGTCTGGTGTAGCTGAAACAAAATACAGGACTATGTAGCACTTTAAAGACTAACAAGATGGTTTATTAGATGATGAGCTTTTGTGGGCCAGACCCACTTCCTCAGATAAAATAGTGGAAGAAAATAGTCACCACCGTATATACCAAAGGATACAATTAAAAATTTAATTGTATCCTTTGGTATATACGGTGGTGACTATTTTCTTCCACTATTTTATCTGAGGAAGTGGGTCTGGCCCACAAAAGCTCATCATCTAATAAACCATCTTGTTAGTCTTTAAAGTGCTACATAGGCCTGTATTTTGTGAGAGCTAGAGGTACACTCCAATGTTTGATTGTAGTCAATGGAGATATTTCTGATCAGACTGGATCAGACTGTAGATTAACTTGACCTTCAGAAAATATAGGACTTCTGGTCTGAGGTTTACTGTTGTAGCTTTTCTTGGCTGAACATGGGCTCCCAGAATAACACTGTTGCCAAATGAGTTAACATGATCCTGGGATGTATAAATAGAACAATCTCAAATAGGAGCAGAGAAGTTATTTTACCTTTGTATTTTGACTTTGGTGGAATACTGTGTCTAGTTCTGGTGCCCACAATTCAAGAAGAATTTTGATAAATTAGAGTTTCAGATATCCATAAGAATGAGTAAAGGGTTAGAAAGCATGCTCAAAGAGCTCAATCAGTTAGTTTAACAAAGAGAAAGAAAGTTAAGAGGTGACTGGATTACAGTCTGTGAGTATCTACACAGAGAACAAATATTTAAAAATGGCCTCCTCAATCTAGCAGAAAAGGGTATAAATATAACACAATCCAATGACAAGGAATTGAGGCTAGAGAAATTCAGATGGGAAATAAGGTATAATTTTTTAACAGTGGGGGAATTAAACACTGGAACAATTTACTAAAGGTTATGGTGACTTCTCCATCCCTGACAGTTTTTAAATCAAGATTGAATGTTAAGATATATTCCCAAAATTATTTTGGACAACTTCTGTTGGTTGTAATATACAAGAAAGTGATCAGAATAGATTGTCACAGTGCTCCCTTATGGCTTTGGAATCTATGAATCCATGATCTCATGACTACAAGCAAAGAGTTGACAGGGGAAAAAAACTTACATATGATACAAACCTTGATGTTATACAGATGCCACCATTATGATCAACTTGCAGCTGGTCAAAAAATATTTCTCAACTACTGTAGTCATAAAATCTTACAATATGTGTTCAGTTATTCACTGAATGTTTTAGATGATTTGCTCAGTTATACAGCCAGTTGGATAATTCAGGCAATATATTTGCAAAACAAAGTATTCAATGAATTCTGCACTATTTTTAATGTAATATTGGCACATCCTTCTCTTCATTATTTACCTCATGTCAGCCTGCATCCCTTCCAACAATGAACAACCTACAGTGCAGAAAGGATAGCTCAGTTTCTGTATTTATTGAATCCTTTGCCTCACTAAGTCTTGATTGTGATAATGGCTTTTTTGTTGTGGGCAGGCATATTTACCACCAATAGGATTCATTAATTGCTTATTAAAACAAAGCAAAAATCACATAAAGTCATTGAAAGAAACAGGCTTCTGAGATATGCTACTTGGTGAGCTTCAGTACTAGTGAGAAATACAGCAGGAGCCTCTCCACCTGGTCCTAAAAGGGTAGGTTCAACTTTCACCGTATCAGAATGAGATTTTAGGGGCAGGAAGAGCTGCATAGATTGGAATCTTACAGTATGCCTACACATCATGATAGATCGGCACTGCAGCATTTGATGCAGCAAGTGTCAATTTACCTGCTTTGCTGAAGACATGCTAAATAGATGGGAAAGCATTCTCCCATCAATCTGTGTACTCCACCTCCTGAAGAAGCATAAGGGAAGTCAACAGGAGACATTCTCCCATTGACAGAGTGAAGTGTAGCCTCCACAGTAAGTGGATACAACAAAATGGATTTCAGTTACATTATTCATGTAACTGAAGTTGCGCAAGTTAGACGGATTTACCACAGTAGTGTAAACAAGCCCTTATATAGCACAGATGAGATGCTGTCTGAGCCATTGATCTAAATATGGGAATTTTTGCAACAGTCTTTTATTTTCACTGTGAATATTTTGTGAAGCAAACTTGGGAAATTTTACACAGCTCTTAGTTAAAGGTGTTCATTGCAAAACAAAAACATCTTTTTTGAAAAAATCAATTAACTAAATTCTGCTCTGTTACATCTGGACAACCCCAGCAGCTTCCATGAGTTACCTGAATATAAGTGGGAACAGAGTATATCTGAATAATTTAAACGTTATGGTCCCAATTCATCAACACACTTAAGCATATACATAAATGCTTTGGTAAATAGAAATAAGATTACTTAAATGTTTAAAGTTTGATACTGGCATAATAATTTGCTGAATCAGGGCCTGTCCACTTTTAGCCTCCAGAAGTATGCAATGACAAATCAAATTCTTCATAATTATATTAAACAAATTATATAAGTGGGCATGAGCTACAAAGCAGAGATCCAGATTTTGATTCATCATAGCCTTCCCAACCAAAGTTTTGGGGTGTTTGTGATCTGGTCCCAGGCCAAAATGCTATATTAAAATACCTAGAATCACCATAACTAATAAGTGTAATTTAGTTATTCCTGATCTTTAAAAGTATATCAACTTCATCAAAAGCACTGTGTGTTACATCTCAAACCATTACAAATAAGCAGTGCTCATGAGACAGTTGACATGTTATATCATTCATTGA